CATGCAACGCAGTGCATGCTGACAGCATGTAACGCAGTGCAGCGGTCAGTATGTAACGCAGTGCAGAGGCCAGCGGTCAGCATGCAGTGCAGAGGTCAGTATGTAACACAGTCAGCATGTAATGCAGTGCAGCAGTCAGCATGTAACGCAGTGCAGCGGTCATTAACGCAGTGCAGAGGTCACACAGAAAGAAGAGGGACTTACAGTGACTCTTTTCCTCTCCTGTTTCAGGTGCTGTACCATCTTCTTTTCGTCTCCTGGTGGGGGTGGGTGGGGGAAGCAGCAAGGTTTCCTGCACGTTTGGAGGTGATTCCAGCCACTTTCTGCTGTCCTTCCTTTAGGACCCAGCAGACAGGCAGTAGGAGTGCGGTCTCCCTCCAGCCAATAGCAGAAGAAGTGGGTGGAGGAGGCTGCCGAGGAGCCCGAACACTAGACGGGCTGATCAAAGGCAGCCGAAGAGCTGCTTCTCGCAGGCTGCTGCAGGAGCAGAGTGGCCAACAGGGGAGAGATGAACAAAGCGATTGCTGCTGTGCCTGCAGGGGCTGTTTTTACAGTCACCAGAGAGGCCCGGGGCAATTGCCACCCTGCCCCCCGGCCCAGTCCGCCTCTGCTGCCATGGATAGGCACCAGGAAAGGAAAAAAACTGATAAGTATGATACAATTTTCTGTTTTCTGGCGCCTTCATGGCTGCATACCCTTGATAAATAACAAGCTGACAGGGTGGATAAATGCGATGCCAAAGGTAAATATTTTATTGAGAAAAAGACGCCTGGACAGTCTGTTGTCCACAATCCACTGTTGTCAGAAGGCCTGGATCAATCCTGTAATGTCTGAAAAAGGTATGATGTGAGGACCAGCTTGCCGCCTTGCAAATGGTCTCTATTGTAACCCTGGCACGTGAAGCCCACGAGGTTGCCATAGCTCTCGTTGAATGAGCCTTCACCACATCCGGTGGCTGCCTGCCTGCTGCGCACACACAAGTATATCCATATCCGGCAAGGAAATGTTGCAACATGCCCAGCACATGTTCTTAATGGGTCTGTGTGCCCTTTCAGGAGAAGGTGACAGGTGCCTTCTTTTTTCTGTCCTTTTCCTTGGAGGTGAAAGTGCCTTTTCCCTATGGCTGTGCTCAGAAGAATGGCCTGAATGTGCACTTTTCCGTCGGGACTTGCGTGATTTGGAGGCACGAGAGCAAGGAGGGCTGAAAAAATAACCATCAGCCAATGCACTTATTTTTTTTTAAACTTACCTAGTAGGTGGTCCCCTACCTTAAAGCGGATGACTGTTATTGGAATCGTGGTGAATGGCTCATAATGAAAGAAAGGAGCAACTTCCAGGCAGGGATCTGTACCCAGATAGCAAGCAAATGAGCTGCAAGTTTGAAAATGACTTGCTAAACTATTGCAGACTTGCCAAGCTCTACAATTTTGTTGCACAATTATAGCAAGTCTACATTGCAAGTCTCCAGACCAGCGAGCTTGCAGAGCTCTTGCTAAGACCTGCAGGACTCTTGCTGTAGACTTGCCAAGCAAATTTGCTACAAATTCAAAAAGTGTCAACTAGAACTTGCGTTGCAAGTGTTCTGCAAGTCTACAACTTGCCAGGAATGTGTACAATTTCAGGGTAAGATGAAAAGGAATCTAGTATAGAAGAGAGTGATCATTTTCTCTTTATATAGGGGTCATCCTCCCCTTCTTCTCTCTCAGCAATGAAGAAAGGCCATATTGCCCAAAACCAAGATGGCGACCGCGCCTCAGTCGCGGACCTCACATACGCGGCCGCAGGGGCGGCACAGGCACGGTGACGTCATCCACTCTCCAGTAAAACAGACAGAGAGTGTAGAGATGGGAAGTTCGTATTTTTGAAATTAATCGGTTAATTTGATCAGTTCATTCAAAAGAACCGATTCATGAATCGAATCATCGGTTCACCTGCTGTGTCGGCTGACAAGCAAGTGAACCGAAGCTTAGGAGCTGTCTGAACCTTCATAAAAGATCCGAATCAGAAGACTGAAGGGGGGCAGCTCTTGGGGATCGTTCCTGTGATCAGTGAGGCAGTGCCTTGGCTCAAAGAGGTCACAAGTTTGGTTTTATGTCAGACCAGCCATTCTATCAGATCACCCAATGTCATCACTTCTGGTCAGGTGTGACTGTAAAAAGTGTGTTACTGCGCATGCACACCGCATTCTGATGAGCTGATGTCACATTGGTAGTGGTCAGATTTGTCCCTAGTGTTTAGAGTGCAATAACGATAGGCATTACTACCACAGGTACTGCGCCCACGTTACTAAAATCTTATCGTTATTCCATGCGCTGTAAAGACTATGGACAAATCTGACCGCTAGCAATGTCAGCTGTGACATCACCATCAGAATGCAGAGCGCATGTGCAGTAACACGCTTTTTACCGTCAGCTGATCACACGTCACCAGAAGTGACGACATTGGCTGATGTAATAGAATGGCTGGTCTGACATAAAATTAAACTTGTGACATCTCACGGCACTGATCACTGTTCCCCGGGAGCTGCCCCTCTTCTCTGAATCAGAGTCTTCTCATTCGGATCTTTTATGAAGATTCAGACAGCTCCTGAGCTTCGGTTCACTTGTCAGCCAACTCAGCAATTGAACTGAGGAACCGATTCATTTCAAGATCCAAACCTCCCATCTCTTATCACGAGTTTGGAGGTGCCCATGCACTGCACGAAAATACCGTGATCGTACGAGAATCGTGCAGTGTATAGAAGGCGTCCGACCGTTTCTAATGTACGGTCGCACGACTTTTGTATTTCAAGCATGTTGGAAACCCAGCCGAGAATCGTACGATTTTCGGCTGGTTTTTAACATGATCGAGAGATGACTGCCAAACAGGCCAGTGTGCGCATGCGCACACTGCCCGTTCAGCATTGCAGTCATTGCAAGCCCGCCCCTCAGGGGGGTGGGCTTGCAATGATCGCAAGTACGATCTGCCTGTCCAAGGGCAGATTGTACGTTTTTTTAAGTACTTTACAACCCTCGCAAGACAAAAGTCTTGCGAGGGTTGTAGAGTGTATGGGCACCATTAGACTCTGTGTGCTGTTAACTCAGAGCTGTTAGTGGGTTGTATCCAGTTCACAGATGTGATTGGTTGCAGGGCGGGCTGGCAGGAGCTGAGCTCCAGGATCGTATTACAAGAGCCGCTCTGCTATACATTCCATACTGAGATGTTTGCTTCAAACGGATCAGCTCACTCAGAGGAATTGACTCCTCATCAATTCAAAAGAACGATTCGTTCAGGAACTGGACATCACCAGGAGAGAGCGGGCACCACCTCTAAGGAGACACAAGCATCAGCAGACGCCAAGGGAAAAAAACCGGATGGTACAGAGGAAGCAAACAATGGACCAAAAGACCATAAGGTGAGACTGCATAACAACATAGAACAGATTAGATATAGAAGGGAAAGTAATTGACAGGAAACAGCATGGATCCCTAACTGACCTCCTGAACTTTAGCACTTTTTTTCACCACCACACCGTTTGTAATCCTACTTAGGATATATGCGGGATACAACGTGCCCCCAAGAACTGCCAGAAGTGGCTCCCAGTCCTAGCTGCGCTTTTAGCAGCCCAAGAACTGGGACTACACCTGGGAGAGGCTGAACCCAGGAGGCACTGTGTCACTATGACACAGAGGTAGGGACGACATACACTGGCCGCAGGCTAGAGACGCGAGGACAAAAAGGAGAATGTAGGAGGGGTCTCTCTATCTTTTTTATAGATTTTCACTGGTCCTGAGTGTGGTGAGCTAATCAAGGGTATGCTGCCATTAAAGGCGCCAGGAAAGACCTGTTTGGTATTCATGGGAAATCAGTCAATGCATGAATGAGCTGTTTGCCATTTTAACACAGAGAATGTTTATGGGAAATTCTTGTAATCACCCAGTTCATAAATATTGCCTTTCTCATCAAAAAATAAATCTTTTTCTAAGAATAGACACTTTCAGGGATTAATGAAGGTGAAAGTACCAGCTAATTGTTGATTTGAGAGTCTTAAGTGAATCAAACCTTCTACCCCATTAATAGACTTCATCTTCATCGAAGATTTCCACCACACGGCTTGTAGCACTTTGTCAAGCATAATTTTCCTTTAAAATAATGAAAATCTAAAAAGTATAGTTTTCTTTGACACTTTTCTAAATAAATATTCTATAAATGAATTAGATATTTTCAGACTTTCTATACCAGCCTTAGGGGAGTATTTATAACCAATTTGCAGAGCCATTCACCTTCCGAATCTTTCTGAATGTTAATTCTGTGCGAATAGACACAAAAGCAAACGTTCTTAGATAAACTTTCTTTTCAAGTCAATTGTATGTAATTTAATACTGTATTTTGGCTGCTAGATAGAGCTGAGAAGCATAGGAAATAAGTATTTATTTATTTTAGAAGTTTTGAAGTACTGCCTGTGGTTGGTCTACTAGGAAGCCTCTATCCAAATGTAGCAGTTAACAGTGCACTACAACACCATACTCTGTAAATGCAAAATGTGAACACACTTTGAGACCCGTCATTTGCAAGATGCTTGTCAAGTGTCTTTAAGGTACAATTAAAAACTCCTTTTTTTTGCATATATCTACTGCTAGCAAGCAAGCAGTAGATATATGCAAAAACATAAAAAAGTTAACATAAAGGTAATTACTTACCTCTGTGTCCGCCGCTCGTTCCCGTCTGTAGATGTGAAGCTTCTCGAGCGGCCATGCAGGATGATGGGGCGGGCGCATACGCAGTAGAGATCTTTGGCGTTAAGGAGAGGAGAGACACAGTGGAGGAGCGTGCACTTCGGACAGACACCGTGGGACCCGAGGAGTCTGCACTGCATCAGAGACTGGCACTAGCGCTGGAGGGATTGCTGCATACAAGTTTAAGGAAGAAGATGATCGGATCAAGAGGCATTATTTAAGGTAAGTCCTTAAAGCAGCATCATGATTGCACAGGAGTGTGAAATGTTAACTTATTTCCGACAGGTAACGCAACTGCCAGTTAGCTTGAAATATGGAATGTGGCATCATATTTGTGTGGCCTGGACTACAAGAGATGGAATGTGGACAGCCTTCCAAGATGGTAAGAAGAAAGGATCAAATGACAACCTGTCTGCTTGGCACCCAATCAAACCTAATGGAGTCATCATTTTTGGACAAGAACAGGTATCTACTATTAGCTGCTACAAAACATAAGAAGTTGTTAATTGCTTTTATTTTCAGGTTTTTTTTCTACCTAAAAATAATAAACTTGGCTTCAGCAGAATATTCAGAATTGTTGTTGGTAGGAGTTTGGGACTGAGCATACTGAATTATTTTCTCCTTTTACAGGATGCTGTAGGTGGTCGATTTGATGCTACCCAGGCATTTGTGGGAGAGGTGGCACAATTCAATATGTGGGATCGTGCCCTGACCAACAGTGAAATGGAGGGAATTGCAAACTGCACAATGCCTCTGTCTGGAAACCTTATCCACTGGGATGATCGCCAAGTGGATGTTTTTGGAGGTGCAACCAAGAATCCATTTGAAAGCTGTGAGGAGCGTTTGGGTCACTGAGCTATACATGAGCATTCAAGTCTCCCACATCCCCTATTTATCCCTCAGTGTCACCATAGCAGGATTTCACAGCTTCCAAACCAGTGGGTGTGAAAGCAGCACCAGCTTGTGTTAATCATCACAAGATAATCATATAACACTGTGTGTCTTTTTTGGGGGTCAGCGACCAACTTTACAATGAAATGGGCTTTGCAGTTGCTTAATACCATCACTTGGAAACTTTTACATGTACAGATTTTTTTGTCCTTATTTGCAGCAGGGGGTCATGGTTCCTTAGTACTTTCGAGAAAAATAAAGCACAAAAGTGACCTAGAAACAGTGCAGTGTTACAATTTAATACATACTTCAGATTTTGTAATGCATATCTAAATGGATGAGCTATCTTTATTTAAATTTCATATATCTCAAGTATTTATTTGTTCCTAAATAACATTTTATATTTTTTCTTCAGCAATGCCCTCCACAATTACACAGTTTTTGAAAACATTTCCTGCATCTTCTCAGTTATTGATAATATTATATCCTGCAAAAAGCCATTGAGATTTTTGCAGGATGGAAAAATTTCATAGGGCATTATTCAATAAGCACAGTGGAAAAAACAGCACACATAGCAACCAATCATAGATCATCTGATTAGCTACTTTATGTTAATAAGGTACATAATCACTTACCATGTTCATAAGAGCCAAGCGAATTACAGGCTGCTTAATAAAGGTGCTATTGCTAAAAATCAGATAAGATGCTCAACAGAACCTAAATGAACGATGTGGAAATAACAAAATGTTCTAAACTAACAATGCAGGTCAACACTAACATCATAAGCTCTTAATACAAACCTTTAACTGCATGATTTCACAGTTTGAAAGAGGTTATGAAAATAATACAGTTCTGGCTTTTGTTCATAGCCATAAGTAAACCACGTGTGGCAGTGTCTATGCCCGATGACTTGATTATAAGGCACAGGGCATAACAATGTGAAACTTGGGCATGGTGAATGCCGTTTCTGCACAACTAGGAAGTGGGCTCCAGGCCCCACAGTGCTATCAAATAAAAAAAGTAAAGGTAAGTTGTCAGCTTTCTCCATGTTTCTGTTAGTTCAGAACACTTAATTACCGCAGGTTTGCTCTAAAGCAGGGGTAGCCAAACTGCGGCCCTCCAGCTGTTGTGCAAATACAAATCCCATCATGCAGCTGCCTGTGGAAGTCATGCCTGTGACTGTCAGTCTTGCAGTGACCTATGGGACTTGTAGTCTCTCAACAGCTGGAGGGCTGAAGTTTAGATACCCCTGCTCTATAGTATGCCTGTACTCTGGTAAACCTCTTAAACATCCACTGTCACCAAAATTAGGTTTCAGATAAGCCCTGAGAGCCCAAAAACAGAAAGTGTCTATTGTACATATCTCAACCTCCACTAAAAAACGATTGCTTGGCACTGCCTCTCATACCTCCCATGCTTCCGTAGTTGCCCAGCACTATGATGAGTTGTGTCACTAACTAATTGGGTATTGTGGGAGGGGAAGCAGGACAAGTGCTAGTATCTAAAGTGAAGCTAAGATTTTCATAAGAAAGCACTTTATTACAAAGCTGAAGATTCCTACAATCACCTGAATGTGCTCACTATTGGACAGAAGCAGCTTTTTAGGAGGTTTGACAAGAATACGGGTTTGTTTTAAGATATCTGTGATAAATATAATATTGTAAGGAGAGATTTATTCTTAAAAACAGCTGACACTGAGCAAACATTCTACCTGAAAGAAGCACTCTGAGAACCTGACAGCACAATTCCGTCATCGCATATAGATCAGTATACAGGTGAAACTCGAATAATTAGAATATCGTGCAAAAGTTCATTTATTTCACTAATGCAACTTAAAAGGTGAAACTAGTATATGAGATAGACTCATTACATGCAAAGCAAGATAGTTCAAACTGTGATTTGTCATAATTGTGATGATTATGGCTTACAGCTCATGAAAACCCCAAATCCACAATCTCAGAAAATTAGAATATTGTGAAAAGGTGCAATATTCTAGGCTCAAAGTATCCCACTCTAATCAGCTAATTAAGCCATAAGACCTGCAAAAGGTTCCTGAGCCTTTAAATGGTCTCTCAGTCTGGTTCAGTAGGAATCACAATCATGGCAAAGACTGCTGACCTGACAGTTGTGCAGAAAACCATCATTGACACCCTCCATAAGGAGGGAAAGCCTCAAAAGGTAATTGCAAAAGAAGTTGGATGTTCCCAAAGTGCTGTATCAAAGCACATTAATAGAAAGTTATGTGAAAGGGAAAAGTGTGGAAGAAAAAGGTGCACAAGCAGCAGAAATGACCGCAGCCTGGAGAGGATTGTCAGGAAAAGGCCATTCAAAAGTGTTGGGGACTTTCACAAGGAGTGGACTGAGGCTGGAGTCAGTGCATCAAGAGCCACCACACACAGACGGATCCTGGACATGGGCTTCAAATGTCGTATTCCTCTTGTCAAG